CCCCCCTCCTCCCCCCCAACTATCCCCCCCCCCCATCTCCCCTGGCCAGCCCTGCTTCCCCCCACCTCTGGTCCCTGCCCCCATCTGAGATCAAGTGAGTCTGGTATTTTTTTTAAGCCATCTGGTAACCCTAGTTGATTGGCTTGCCTAGCATAATCCCCAAAATCCTTCTCAGAGTCACTGGAGACAGTTCCCCATTCTAGGGGTGTGGCCTGCATGCTTTGGGGTTAGGGTAGAACCTTGCATTTGGCTCTGTGAAATCTTGATGGTTTGCCTGGGTCCAGCTTCCCCAGCGCTCACTCTATATCACTGCCCTGGTCTCAGCCTTATTTACCATGCTGCTCCTATTTTGTCACCTACACCTGTTGTCAGCAGTGATTTCATATTTTCTTTCAGTTCAATGATCGCAGTTACTGAAATCATCGGTTCTTGAGAGCCTCTTTAGACCGCTACTAGCAAGATGATCGCAGTTACTGAAATCATCGGTTCTTGAGAGCCTCTTCAGACCGCTACTAGCAAGTACCCTTCTCTGAATCTTTTCCAGTTCCACTGTCTGCTTTTTGAGATGTCACCCCAAACTGGACAGAGTATTCTGCGTGTAGGCATTCGGTGAATTTATCGTGGCATGATGAGATTTTGTATTTTATTTTTATCCCTTTCCTAATAATCCCTAACATACCAAAAGCCTTTCTGGTTGCTGCTGCACAAGGAGTAGAAGCTTTCAGAAAATTACCCATGGTGACTCCAAGGTCTCTTTCTGGCATAACAGCTACTGTAGAACCCATCATTGTATACCCATCACTGTATCATAGCTGGGATAATTTTTTCCAATGAGTATTATTTTGCACGTCTCAATGTTGAATTTCATCTGCCATTTTGTTGACCAGCCACCCCGGTTTGAGAGATTCCTTTGTAGCTTTTTACCTTCTGCATTGGACTTAACATTCTTGAGTAGCTTTGTATCCTCCACAAACTGTGCCGCTTCTCTGTTCACCTTCTTTTCTAGATTATTAGTGAATAAAGTGGAAATCCTGATTATTGCATCATACTTTCTATGTACGCAAGAGATATCACAGGCTACAAACTGGAGACAAAAGTGAAGGGCATTGCACTTGTTAACCCTGAAGTTGGACATTTGGTTCTGAACAAGACTGACAAATGCACTCTCTCTTTCTGCAAAAAACTCAGCTGACTCTCTAGGAGCGTGTAGTGCAACAGTGAAAGACTCAGCTGTTGAAAAACTGAAGAACTCTCTCACCATATTAAAAAAATGTGCATGCATGGCTGCTAATGACACCAAATGCAAATAGGCATGAAGTATGAAATCATTGCATGTTACCCAAATGTCTGTGGTAGGCCCATAGATGTATTCTAGATGTTCGGGTTATCGACGACACATCAGCTGCATCTGTGACATCTTAGAGTTAAATGCTTGTAAACTGAACCCCAAACAGATGGCTGCTTATGCATTCAATGGAGCTACAAACTTCTCTGGAAGATATAGTGGAGTACAAGCTTTCCTAAGAGAAAAGGATAACCCTAATCTCCCCTATATACACTGCGGAGGCCATCTGCTTAGCTAGTACTAGTATGTGTGGCTGAATCTTCAAAAAACATCAAAAAGCCATAAATGCAATGGTGGTGTTATACTATTTTTTTTCCCCAGCAAGAATCCAAACAACTGAACATCTTGGAAACAAAGGTACACTGGGGCTCAAGTTTAAATTAGTGCAGCCTGGGAAAACCTGCTGGCTTTCTCATGAATGATTCTTCTCTATTGTCCTAAAATGACTGCAACTGTTGTTACTGGCTTTGGAAAAAGTATTTACCTAGCTAGGACAGATTTAAGTAGTGAGTCTGGTGGACTATTTTGTTACCAAGTTCATAGAAGACTATTCCACACTCTCTCTTCTAAATCTACTGTTGAAACCACTTGGGTCATAAAACCCAATTAAAATGCTCTTTGTCCGGAAATATAAGCTATCCTTCGATCAGCCAGGCCACGCCTATACTACAGATAAAAATTGAAGCAGCTACTGTCAATCTTCTGGGGTTTGAATTAGTGGGTCTAGTAAAGACACACTAATTCGAACTGAGGGGGTGCTCCGGTCGATGCTGGTAGTCTTGCTTCTGCAAGGAGTAAGGGAAGTCGATGGGAGAGAGAGCCACTGAAAAATTACTGGAAGAAGTAAAGACTTCAGTCCAGAAGTTGACTAATGCAGACGCTTATATTGATCCCTTAAGTGAAGAGAACAAGAAGTGGTTAAGCCAGCTGGAAAAGTACACAGACTTGAGTCTTACAAATCTACAATAGCAATTTCTGGATTCTACTCAATCCGCACATAGCTTTTACAGATGCCGGTTTTATAAAACACGAACAGTTTACTGGAGTGAGGCACTCCCAGCAACGGGGCTGCCATGTGATCAGGACAGAATAGAGAATTTTGAACACAAAGTAGAATATCATATGACAAACGAATGAAGATTCAACTTCTTATTTATCATCACTAATGGCTTGACCCAATCCTTGTGCTACGTTTCCTGGGATGACAGAAGTAGAAATTCAGCTCTTTCTGCTCCTAATCTCAACAGCTACAGTTGATCATTCTTTCCCCTCATTGAATAGAATTTTGTGTTTTCAGAAAAGTCTCCTATGCCTGATCATGAGTATATCATGAAGGACTGGAAGTAACGGGCATCCAAGAAGACACCAAAGAGTAGTGCAGATTTATAAGACACCAAGAAGGATCTACATGTAATGCTTCATAATAGGTTTGAGTAGCCAACTTTAATTTCTGTGATTTTAAACCATGAGTGAAAGCTAATAAAATTGTCATGAAATGTATTTCAGTTTTTACTATGATACCCTACAGCTCACCCTTGCTCTCATGATGTCAACAGTGATTAGCCTTCAAGCCCCCCCTCCCCCGGTATATTCAAACAACCCCACCTGAATTTCAATTCCTGGGGAAAATACTGGCTGGAACAAGGACTGACTGACGTTCACAGTAATGACAGGGCTTTCTTCATACCTGTGCTATTTGTCTGATTCTGGGGAGCCTAGCATGCTTTCCTTACGTATGTAGCATAATATTACTATTGTTTGTTCTTAAGTGCACACTATAGGACATCAGTCTGTAAAAGGTAGCCAAGTTAATGTTGCTGCTAGTGTAACCCACGTACCTTGTGTGGGTCACTGTCACATGTAGTGGCACTTAGGTCTCTTACAGCCAGAGATAAGAACAAGGGAGCTCTACAGCCCAAGCTGAGAGCCAGCTGGTTTTATAACTCAAACTGTAGAAGCTCCTCCATTAAGCTCTAGAGGTTCTAGGTTCAAATCCGCCTAGTGGTGATTACACCAGCACCTTCATTTTGGCTGCTATTGATATTTTTGTATTTTAATTGAATCCCCAGTAATACATTAATGCAATGTTAGTATTAGCATTACACTATATACCGTTTTCCATTGGGTGGGGGCTGATAGTCGTCTTACATAGGTAAGATTTGAGAGAACCAAATAACTCCACCGAATTGAATAACAATAAACTGGTATTTTTAAGAGGAAAATAAGGGCCCATTAACTCCAGGGCCCACTTATATCATTATTAAAGGACATATATTATGTGGGGTTGATACATGTAAGAAGACCCAAGGGAGAGGGAAGAGTGTAAGTAGAAGGTGGAGGGAGATACTCCACAGATGCAGACACTACTCTTTATTTAGTCTATGTAGGTATTTTCTGGATTGCTATGGATGAGGCCAATTTTCTGTTTGTTTGAGTTTGTGGATTACAGCATCTTTTGAAGAGAACCACCAAGAGTGGTAGGAAACCTACTCAAGCCATTCTGCTGAGAAATACTGCTGTCCAGCTAATAAGCAGGCCCAACCAGTGGGAGAACCCAGTATTAAAGAATTGATATTGCTTGTTAGTCTTGCTTGAAAAGTGAGGATAGTAATACTCAGCTGCTGTGTTTCACAGGGGACTGATGAGGCTGAATTCATATAATATTTGTCAATTTCCTTGATAACTTTACTGGGAGGGCATTATAAAAGTGGTATATTGCCAGGAGAGAGACTTATTTTGTTCTTTGAACAAGGACTAGAGGTAGACACAGTGCAATGGAGTAGGTCTTTAGCTGGTGTCTACTGGCATAGGTCCTCTGTAGTCTACAAGAAGAAGTAATACTGTAGATAGTGTTTACTGGTTAAATGCTCATGCTCTTACTCTCTCTCTCAAGCTAGCTCCACATATAGACAATTCTATTCTCACCACGTAACTAAATATTTTACACTTTAAAAGCTCTGAAATCCTCAGCTGGTGTAAATGTGTACAGCTCCATCCAAGTCAGTGGTGTTGCACTGATTTGCACCCGCAGAGGATTTGGTCTGTTGTTGCAGAGATCAAGAGCTTAACGTGTTTAAGAGTTCTAGCTGAGAATCATTGCAAGTTAGTTTTCTGTTTCTCTAGCTGTGTCTACACTACACTTTTTGTGTTTGCTTAGTGTTTAGAAAAATGTCTCGCTGTTACTAATATCCATGCAGCTCTCTTTGAATCAGGTGTCAGCTTTTAAATGTTGAATCAAGGCCATGGTGTGGGACCTAGGATTTCAATAAAAAATTTTCCTCATGTGTATGTAAGCATACTTCAGTGATTGGCAAAGTTCGGCACACGGCTCTTTGTGTGTGTGTGTGTGTGTGTCACAAGACCATGTGGCATCTTGTAATGTTCATGGACAAAACAAATCAGTGGATGCAGCTAATAAATATTTCAAGATATATATTACTGCAAAATCATATCACAAGACCAAAATGGGAAGGTAGCCTCTGGAGCAAAGGCAAAAGACAACATTTCAAAGTGGCTTCAGAATTACCAATACAAGGAAAGGATGAGATAAATGTAAAATTAGCTTGAACATATGGATGTGTATTTAGAACCAGATTTTACATAATTTGAAATCAAAGGCCTTAACTGGTAATACAGGCCTTTAACCAATCAATATTATTATTATTCCTTTCTTTAGTCTTTTCATTTTTGATCATTTTTGCATCACACATGTATTATAAACCTTTAGCTTGTCCCACAATGATGACAGAAATTCAAAGTGGGGACTTGGTCATAAATTACTCAACTCACATGCGTGAAACCACAACTGTAAGAAATCTCACTGGTGGTAACCTAGCCCTTGCTGTACCAACTGGACTCTACATACCTAATGGTTGCAACACTGACATGTTTCATGTTGGAAAAATATTTGCTTAATGCACCTGAGGCTGCTTGGTCACTATTGCTATTGGACCCATAATCTCATTTTAAATATAACCTTTTCTGAAATGGCCATGAAGCAAACAGTTGTGGCATTTGTGGTTTCATAGGATGTTCTAAGAGCCCTTAGGCTAAAAGCATTCTCTTCATCATCCCTCTTTGTGGTAAAATGAGACTGCCGCCTTCTCCTCCACTAT